TGGGGGGGGGGGGGGCATCCCTCCTCGCCCCGCCGGCCTTTTACCAAAAGAGTACGGACTTTCTTGCCAGCGAGGCCTGGGGACTGCTGAGAGCCCACCTTTGAATGTACACATCCCGAACACCTCTCCTTCCTCACGATTGGTGACAATGCCGTCCTCCTGTTTTTCAGGCGCCATTTCTCGCTACACAAGCAACAATGACACCACCCGGAGCGAGTGGCACTATGAATCACCAGGCGCCGAAAATTTCGACACTCGATCCGGAACACATACCCTCCTTCCACCACGCCCCCCCCCTCTCTCCCTCCCCTCCCCACGACGGCGCCATTTCTCCGCCCGGGTAGTTTCCGACCTTATCTTATCCCTTTATCAAAATCTGAACAACCAATTGCCCTCCGACGCGCACCCGCCCCACCCCCCCCCTGTCACTAACCCACCCGACTCTCATGTTCGTGCTACGATAATGCGAACGAAAATACAAGAACGCGAAACAACCAAACACCGAAAAAGAAAGAAGATCCACAGAACCAGCAGGCAAAGACAACCAAAACAAGAAACAATGCCGCCCAAAATTTTCTGATGATTGGATTTAATCAATTTCAGTTTTTTTTTTTTTATTGAGAACTTTCATTAACTGTACACAACTCTGGGCAGGGAGAAAGCGACGACCACGCGGGGGGCGAGGCGGCCGCTTCGAGTTAAAGCGGTTGAAGCCCCGAAGGCGCTAGGTCATCGAACAAACAGCCTCGGCAAAGGGAACTATACAAAAAGCGGGAAACGAAATAAATATTCGCTGGTTGGAGGAAAGGGGCGCCATCAACTTCGGGCTCGGCTCGAAAGCAAACCCCATCCGCAGCGGCCCCCACCCCCCCCCTCTTGGAGACACACGCCCGCGATTCTGATGCGAGCTGCTCCGCCCCAACATTGTGTTCCTCCACCGTCAAATACCTCTGCCTAAAAATTTACTCTGAATGACGCTTTCGCTTCTTCGCGTTTCGACTTTTCGCGCCGACACCACCCCTCTCTTCACCCCTAGGGTGACCCCGATCCCCCCACCAAAAAAAAAAAGTTCTCCAACACGCACCACACACACACCGTCAAAACACTCTCCTCCCTTACGAGCAATACAGCTAGGGAGTGAGAAGGCGCGGTGATGCTCCAGGTCTCAACCACGCCTCCTCCTTTGCTTTGCTTTGCTTCGGCTCCACCTCTCCCGAAGCGAGACCGAGGGGGCGCGTGCTACACGGTTGCGCGGTGTGCTCGGTGTGCTCGATTTCGTCCTCTTGTTCCATGGAATCAAACCTTCTGGACCTGGGACTTGATGTAGTCTAGCTCGAGCTCCCCCTGGTCCGTGGCCTGCAGGTGGATCCCGATTCCCATCAGAGCGGACTTGATCGCCTCCTGTCAAAACGTTGTTCCGCGGTGAATGTTGTTGTTCAATCGAGGCGGGGCACAACTCAAAATGGGACATTCGGAAATAACACAAGAGGGTTGTTATTCATACTCATAGCCGTGCTTTGCATAGTCGTTTTAGACAAATGACCTCGCGCGTGGGGGCGGGAAATGTCTTCCAGTGTTTCGATGCAAAACCACTCTCGACCATATTCCCTTTCTCTTTTCGGTGATGAGCCAACCAGATCTGGGGTTGGTGTGGGTTACACAGAAGGCCATCTCTCCACGAAAGCCTGCCTGTTCGGGGCACTTTCCACCCACCAACGTGGACAGTTTTGAGCCAACCGGCAAATAAAGAAAAAAAAGTAGACGGCCGCCCCCGACCTCCACAGAGAAGAGACGTTCCACCATGACGGGCTACCGTCGCAATGGCGATGACTGATTTCTCTAGGATCGCGGGTGGTGATGCAGCAAGACCTTAAGCCGACAGCCCTAGCAAAACCTTGCCCTTGCCTTCGCCGTCAACACTCTTATGGCACACACATGGGGGTCTTCAAGCCAGCATTAGAGCACAACATTCGGTAAGACACACACAGAACACAACACAACATACAAACACCCGAGCCATTGACAACGAATCGAACGTCACCATTTTTCGAGCAAGGCCCTGAACACTACAAAAAAAAACACGCCGCGCCCCCCAAAATGTCAAAACAACAGCGCAACCGAAAAGTCAAACACAGCGGGCAGGAGTCTACGGACGGAGAGCGCAAGAAGACGCACACACACACACACACACACCTTCGAGGCGGCGTACACCATCTTGTTCTTGATCTTGGCGGTGTCCGGAGACCACGAGATGAAGATCAGCTTGTTGGCCTCGCGGCCGTCGCGGGTGGTGAAGTCCAGGTCGAACACGCCGTAGCGGCACTCGTTGGGGGGCAGGCACGCCGTGAAGTCGTCGTAGGTCTTGGTCTTGTCGCCGAACGTGTCGACGATGATCTCGGCGTCGTTCTCGATCTTGTAGATGAAGTATCGGTTGTCGTGCGGCGCGCGGTGCAGCTTGAAGGCGTTGAACATCTCCACCGCCTCATCGTTTACAGTTACACCGGTAGTCTGGTGTTCGGCGGGGGGCAGGGGGGGGGCGGGGGGGGGGGGGGGGGACTCCTAATCCTGGATGCCCGAATCCTTTGAACCTTTACCCCCCATCCCCAAAAAACCGGGAAGGAACACCCCCTGTTTTCCCCCGACCCAGGTCTGGGGGGGGGGGGGGGGAAACAAAAGGGGGGGTGGCCCAATCCCTTTAACCC